CCTTGTATGAGTTTGTAATGGTTTGACTCTCTTTATAAAGTGCTTCCTGGCTCCCCCCGTCTCCAAACGTTGAGGCCTGGCAGCTCTCTGCTTACAAGCCTAGTAGAGAGAAACTGTTTTGATTGGTTGTTTCTGAAATGTGGTGTGTTTGGAGAAATGGGAAAAATAGGTTTCATGGTGCAGTCACATACTTCCTGGTCACAAAACGTTCTGTAAATGCACACGTTATGGCAAAAATTATTCATAATTAAATCTGGTTTTAACATGACTTTTATAAAGTTTGAAGTCCGTGCTGTCCAATCCAGCTCACTGTTTTTTACAGAAGCCCTGTGAAAGCATCACAGCTTTGCCGATCTTAGAGTGTTAAAAGAAAAGAAATTTCTGTATCCGCATCGTTATCCGGAACACCAGCAAAATTTAAATGTATGTTCCTTGGCCCAGTACCCACATGTGGTAAAAATGTCATGACAATGYGTCCACAAGTTTTTGAGTAATGTTGTCCACAGACAGAACGACAGAACGACAGACAGAACGACAGACATACGCGACCGAAAACATTACCTCGCCCTTGGCGGAGGTAATTATATTTTCTTTAAGTCTTTAGGGGTTGGTCAGAAAAATAAAACACACTGATTAAAACACTGAATGAACAAAAACAAAGATGTCATATATGTGGTTTAGCTATGCTGTTAGTGGGAGGGCCCATACGGTTTCTGCAGTTTTTGCAATAATAAAAGCCAGTCCTTTGTGAATGAGTCAGCCTGTAGAGTCTGTGTGCCTGACTGTGTCTGGCTCCTGCACCGTCTCTGTGGTGCCGCAAGCTTGAATCAATCAACACGCTGTCAGATAACAATACGTTTGATCAATTTCTGTTTCCTATTTCCTTCTCTATCTGCTCTTTGGACTTCATTGGAACACAAGCAGTAATCTTACTGTTTATATATATATATTTTTTCTGTTTGTCTCTGTAATCTTTACGTCACTTCTCACTCTGCTTTTTGAAAGTCTCCTCAGTTCTAAATCTGTCCTTCGTGTCAATCAGTTGTTTTTCATCTCTTTATCTCAGTCGTTTCCACTCAGTTTCCCTGCATTCCCTCCTCCCCAGCCCCCGTTCTCGTGTTCCCTCTCTCTGTGCTTTGGAGGAGGGATGTTGAGTGTTGCCAAGGCCACTTGCCATTTAAAACATTGATGGGGACTTTACGGGTCTGCTTGTTGTCGCTGGGCGTGGCGTGGACTCTCAGGTTTTCCTCGGTCGATTCCCGCTCACTAGAATGGTCACTCACCACGGAGTCACCGTCTGACGGGGAGATCCTGCCCAGAAAACACACACACACACACACACACACGTCCATGAATAATAAAAAACCAAGAACATACCAATGTGCTGAGACATTATACATATTTAAAACTCTGTTTCTAGCATGAGAAACGGAAGAGTCTATATTGAAGCAATGATGCCATTTTAATTTGATGAAAGCAAAAAATATAACATTAAGCCTTTAGAAACAATGCAGCCTTCCTGTCGCAACCTGGGTTCACACCTGCCGCCTCAGGATCACGAGACCGTGACACTGACCACAGCCCAACTTAACATAATCGCCACACAATAAAGAAAAGAAAAACTTTCTTTACATTATGATATCGACCTGTTGGCAAGTACAAAGGAAGATTGCCCTCTGATGATTAATCGGGGAGTCTGCCAAAACCTTGTCTGGTTGACTGCCTGCACTAATTAAAGTGACCTTAAAATGTCCTCAGCTGGGGTTCAACAATCAGTAATTCTTTTTAAAGGTTTAAAAATATTATTTGACAGTCACTTGTTGTTTTTCACCAAGTGCAGCACATAAAAAGACATTCTGTAGGCTATAACCGTGGAAACACACTAAAATGAAATGAGCATAAATAYAGCATTAAGTACACCACTTTCCAAGTCAGCCTACTGTTTTTCATTTAAAGTGACTGTGATGTCAAATTTTTGTAATACAAATGAATGCATTTTTAGAAAGAGAACATTGATAAAATGTTGCAAAATAAATGTCATGTCGCTGAGATGAACAGTTGTTGAGATATTTGCATGTGAAGCAACAGGAAGTGATGTCAAAGGGGGATGTCTGCATGWKAACAGAGTGTTGCTACAACAGCCAACAACCCAGACTGTAGAGAAGAATCTGATGTTTCTTAAGATTATTTTGTCTCTACGAAGAAGAGTCAGAGTTCAAATAATAATGTTTCAATAAACAAAGACCAGAGAGTTTTATTTGTTAGAGTTCCCCTTTGATGTCACTTCCTGTTTCACTTTGGCTGAGCCAAATTCAACAGAAACTATACCAATCATGTGACAAAATGGGTAAAATTTTGCGTATTATGTCTTAAATATAAATTTTCACTTCCTGTTTCTCTTTGGCTGAGCCAAGTTCAAAAGAAAATATATCAGTCATGGGACAAAATAGGTTAAATCGTGTGTTGTTCCATTTTTCTTTATTTTTAAATATAAATATGTTTTCTTTGACTTTTTGTATTTGAAGAATATGAATGTCACAGGCACTTTAAAGGAGACATATGTTTTTAAATCCTTTGTTTTCACATTTAAATAACTCAGATGGTGTCTATATAAAGTAGAACTGCAATGCTTTGGCCTGAATTCCTCCTTATTGTAACTCCACAAGCCCCTTTTTCACCCCTTTTCTGAGGTGTGTCTCGGATCAACTTGTTTTGAGGCTGTATCTTTAAATCCAAACAAGGCGTTTCACACCCCACCCCCCTCCAGCTTCCAGACCGGTCCATTGTGGTCTGATAGAAGGATTTATAACTATGTAGCGGTGCAGAAATGTTCTATTTATAAACGAATTAAAAGATTTTAAAAGATGTATAATTCATCAGTATCAGTGTCACTAACCTTTCTTTCCTTCGACTGCCACGAGATGCCTTGGTGGAGGAGGCTGACGTTTTGGATTTGGGCGTGGGGGCCTCCCCAGCTTCGGATGGACTGAAACCATCTTTGACAGACGTGGGGAGGGGACCTGAGCCAGACCCTGGCGGAACGGGCTCCTGGATCACCATGACATCATCTTTATTCTGCTGGCCAAGATGGAGCTTGGCGAAATCAAAGCCCTTCACACTGGGAGCCTGTAACTAAGAAAAGAGGCGGCAGAAAATGTAAGAGAGGAAGAACAAAGTGAATACAGAGTGGAAGGAAACACAAATGGGAAGCAGTTCATCCGCATAAAGTGGAATCGAACACAAGTTGTGAATTGTTGATTTATCCTGAAACTTTTAAATTAAAGTCTTTCTTGTGCAAATATTAAAAACTACTGTATTTATTTGTGTACAATACGATCTCATGCATAATATGACCCCCCCCCTTTTTTAGCTTAAAAAGCATAAAAAATTGAATCCTCAAACTACATCCAATTTGATACAGACTTCAAGATTTTTCAGCCTTTGCAGTCTTTATATATATCAGTAAAATGATCATTGGACTGTTCATTTTATTTTAACAACATATGTACTGAAAGGTATTTTGACAACAAATATATATCAGCCGTAGCAGCATCATATGAATTCTGGCATTTTACACATAGTCCACCAGGAGGCGCCAACACAAAAGTCAGAGACTTCACATGAGATTTGGGCCATCTTGTGGGGGAAAAGCAGATTACTTCCTACTCGGAAGTTTTTTCAGGGATACAAACTTTTTCAGAACACCGGTAGACGGCAGCCATTACAGACGAACATGTGTTTGTTGTTGTTCCAGGAGCGGCCCGGTCACACACTAATGTCATTAGTTCACTATCATTACTAAGGTGCAGGAATACTTTTTCCTCCACTTTTTTTCACATCATGTCGCCTGCCTGGATCTGTTACTATCCTACCTGAAGCATGGAGGAGTGTCAGAGGTAAGCTCGCTTCAGCTGCTTTTTAAGACACAGTCTCATTTCTGGACTCATGCATTTTGTGAATGAAGCCAATATTTCGGTTAAAATACATAAGTAAATATATTTATCCAAGTATAGTACTACCCCCCCAACTTTATGGATGATTTTATGGATTTAATTTTACGCATTACACTTGAATAAATATGGTAGATGTCAACACAGAAATAATGTTTGTAACAGGAAGGAACTGAACATACAGACTCAGATTTAGAAACATAATTAGGCTGGATAACTGATGGGTATCCAGGTGGGAGACAAATTGGCAATAATGAATAAGGAAGAGTCTGTGGGACAATAATAATAATAATAACTAGAGAAATTGCATTTCCTGCGAAAATGCAAGTGTGAATGCCTGTTGCTGAAGACATAAACTGAAAGCTGCAGAAGAAGCTGAAATTGAGCTGAATTAGCAAAAGAATTATTATAAGTTAAAATTTAAAAGCTGAAAAAGGCAAAAAAAACGCAGTAAAACAGCAAAAAGGACCAAAATATAGCTGAACTACCATAAAAAGCTAAAAGCTAAATGCTAAAATATCTGAATATTGCAGAAAGCAACTGTAAAAAGCATAAATAACTCAAATTAGCAGAAAGAAGCACAAAAAAGTAAAAAAAAGGCAGAAAAAGCATAAAAATAGCAAAAAGAAGCAGAACTACAGCTGAATTAGCATAAAAAAGCTAAAATCTAAAGGCTAAAATATCTGAATATTGCAGAAAGCAAATGTAAGAATAATAAATAACTCAAATTAGCAGAAAGAAGCACAAAAAGGTAAAAAAAAAGCAGAAGAATATTAGAAGGAAGGAGAATTTTAGCTTAAATGACTGAAAAAGCTAAAACTAGCAAGAAAGTAGCTAAAATTGTCACAAGGAATTTAATAGGAGCAAAACCAGAATGTAATGTGTAAGGCTCTGTAAAGATTTAGAAATATTATGAAGAAATTTAACGATGTTGAAAAAAGCTCCATTCATTTCCAATGGGAAAAAAGTAGCCGAAATAGCTGTGGCCACAAATGTTGAAGTTTCTTGAGGCTTCAATATGTTATAGAGCATGCTCTCAGCTACCAGTACATAAGTTTTCATGTCATTATCTCAAACAACGGCTGAGTAAAAGGCCTTTACTCAGCCGAAATAAAAATCCAAGATGGCTGCCAAAGCTATTTTTATTTCGGCTGCAATTCATGATAGAGCTAAGTCTCAGCTACGAATATATTCATTTTTAGCTCAATATATCAAAAAATTGGCCAAAATCAAGTAATTTGAAGTAATTTTAGCTAATTTCAGCTAAAATTTAGCTACAATTGCAGCAAATAGCTGAATATTGCAGAATGCAACTGTAGGAAGCATAAATAGAACATATTAGCAGAAAAAAGTATAACAAAGAAGAAAAGTGCAAAAGAATAGCAGAAATAACTAACATTTAGCTAATATAGAAGGAAAAAACTAAATTTAGCATAAAAAAGCTAAAGGTAGCAGACTCAAGTTGAAAGTAGCACCCAGATGGTGAAATGGATGTAAAAAATTAAAATTAGTAGGAAAAAAAACCCMAAAAAAACCTAAAAAGTGATCATTTCAAGTGAAATAGGTAAAACAGCCGAAGCTTTCAGTAAGACAGCTAAAAAGGAACTGGGAATGTTTTAATTAGAATAAGGATGCATAAGGAGCACAATTTTGCTGGATTTAGCCGAATTAAGTTGAAATAGCTCCAAAAAATGTGTAATTACCTTAGAAAGCTAACTTTGGCTAATAACAGCTAAAATTTAGCTAAATTTGTAGAAAGTAGCAGAATATAACAGAAGTCAACTGTAAGAAGCATWAATAGTACAAATTAGCAGAAAAAGGCAGAAAAACTGTRGAAAAGGCAGAAGAATAGCAAAAAGAAGCAGAACTATAGCTGAAATAGCAGAAAACAGCTAAAGTTAGCAAATTTGTAGAAAATAGCTGAATATAGCAGAAAGCAACTGTAAGAGGCATAAATAGTACAAAGTAGCAGAAAAAAGCACAAATAAAGCAGAAAAAGGCACAAGAATAGAAAAAAGAAGCAGAACTRTARTTGAAATAGCAGAAAACAGCTAAAGTTAGCAAAAAAGTAGTTAGCAAATAGCTGAATATAGAAGAAAGCAACAGTAAGAAGCATAAATAGCACAAATTAGCAGAAAAAGTAAAACAAAGCAGAAAAAGCATAAGAATAGCAGAAATAAGCAGAACTATAAGCTGAAATAGCAGAAAACGGCTAAAGTTAGCAAATTTGTAGAAAATAGCTGAATATAGCAGAAAGCAACTGTAAGAAGCATAAATAGCACACAATAAAGAGAAACACGAAAACAATAGTGAAGTGAATCTATAATGAGAGACTAGAAATCTTTGAGTACCGAGCTGCTTGCTTTCCTTCTGAGACAGAGTTTCGGCTACAAGAGAAGCTGAACGGAACATGACATGTCCCCGTAATCCTTGAGACTCGTTGTGTTTATTTGAAGTAAACTGCACAGCTCAGACAAGGGGCTTGTTGGTTTGAAACTGCTAATCCAACGTGATACCTCTAATCCCAACACAGACTAAATGAGCACATGTTTGTGTGGGCTGCTGTTCAGGGCAGCGAAAAGTTCAGGTGAAAAAAAGGTAAGCGCAGCTTTGAAAGCAAAACACACAAAGATATCTGCCACTTAATAATTACTACCTCACGGTGAACTARGAAATCACAAGGAACAGTTTGTAACATGCAACTGCATACTACTGCACGTCACAGTGACAAGGATCTACTGACAGTGAACCACAGTCCACAGCTGCTAAACTACTGGATGCTATTTGTTTACTGTAGTTGTTAAATTAGGGGAAGCCACTAATCTCCTACGACACCATGTACCTCCTCCTCAGCTCGCCTCCTTTTAGAGCAAACTTTCATCTTCTCTGTTCTCAWCCCCCCTGGTTCCTTCGGCGCAGCTTTGATCTTTTCTTGCCTCTGCTCTCGAGATGGAGTTTCTCTCTTTTTAATATTTCCATTTTTATCTTCTTCCTCCTCATCTTCTTCCTCCTCATCTTCTTCCTCCTCCTCCTCCTCTTCCTCCTCCTCCTCATCTTCTTCTTCATCTTCGAACTCTTCTTCCTCGTCCGTGCTCGCAGTTTGTTTACTCCTGAGGAGTAATTCTGTTTTCTAAGCAGGAGTAATGATGGAAAAGCCAAAAAAGGTCCAAGTTGATATAAATCTTAATATATCTAGATCACAGATTATTCAGATCTGATATATTTCAGCTGTGTTCTTTTATAATTAATATTTAATTAATTTCAATAATTAACTACGAATGTAGACACCATAYACAAACCTACCACAACACATTTACACACAAACTACTTGTTCTATAAGCCACCAGATGCTATTGTACCTTCCCCATTTTAACTTCCATTTCCTCCCCCTCTTCTTCTTCCTCTTCTTCTTCCTCTTCCTCCTCCTCGTCCTCATATCCCCCCTTCTCCTCCTCACTAAACTCAACATCACCTTTAGCTGGAGGGAGCGGCTGGTGACGAGAGGTTCTGGACTCACCGAGWGACACGGTGGACTGAGAAAAGAGCAGCGGTGTTAGGTGACAGATATTGGTGTGGCGCAGAGAGGACAAGCTGTGTGTTTGTTACGTCTACAGACAGATGAGGTGCGTTTGGTTTATTTACAGCACCGTGAAGGGGAGTGTAAACGCAGAACGGTGAGGCAGTAGGTCATGAAAACACACACACAGTCTCCAAGGCAGAGCAGATGTAAGGGAGCACAAAAACAAAAATGGGTTTGATTTACTTTAGGAACGAGGTAGAAAGTTTTTGTGTTGTTGCAACAAAAGACTTGTGACTTTACTGTGAGGCAGCAGTTTACCGCTAACCAGAGTTTTTTTTTAGGCACTGATTTACTCGAGAACAAAAAAGCTACGGCGTACTAACGTAGCATCATAAGCTGCAAACAGCTGGGTGTCAGCTGTTCGCAGCGCCCCATCAGTCACGATTGAAACCAAATGCAACCTTTCAACTAACATCATACACGTACAATGAACTGGGAAGCAGAACAAACGTTTGTGTAACGTACAAAAAAAGAGAAGAATAGTTGGATGCAGAGTTATTGTTTCCCCGGGAAAAAGAAMCGCCACGTATGAGAGGTCCATACACTTCTTGTTAATGAAAACGTCATCTTTAAACCCTATCTTACACTAAATTTGGCTTTCTTCTTCAATCCCAAGATGAAGTGTCTCTGTGTTCCTCGGTGAGTTTCCAGAATATTTACTGGTTAGGTACATTTGCTGTGTCCAAATTAAGGGGCTGCGTCCTCTGAAGGCCAAATTTGTCTGCCGTTTACATCACAGCACCGTGCCGGAGGCTGTCCAAATTCAAAGACTCCTCCGATACGGCCCGCAAATGCATCCTCATTTTCMCTCGATTTGAGGGGCGGGTCYGATGGATCCATCTCGGTCCACCATATCCCATAATGCATCGTGGGCTGACAGGAGATATTTTTTCCTGCTTGTAATGGCGGACGAAGCAAGAGAAAGGAGAACAGTTTTTAAAAAAAAATACCGCCGTATAAAAATTGAAACTTTCAAGCGGTTGTGTTGTGAATGCTTTTGTCATTTATATGGACATGTTTTAATATTATTCTTGTCTGAAATCAAAGAAGCTGGTTTAATGCACCTATGGTTAGCCTGGCCCTTGCCTTCCTACGCAGCTCTGCTCAATTCTAGTTTCCCCTCACTGCTCTGTCTGGGATTTCTCCCGTAGACGAGGATTTCTTCAGGAGAATTTTGTTCGGGCCAATCAGAGAAACACAAGGTGGAGTTTTGAACGACAACGTCGTTTTCTGCGCAGTGTCTGCTTGTAGACTATTTTACCTGGGCCAATCAGCAAAGAGAAGGCGGAGTTTTGAACGATGTCGATTTTCTGCGCAGTGTCTGCTAGTTAATTTAGCATACGGCAGTGGAGGAAGTGAATGAAGCCAGTCTGTRTTGATRAGGCTTCCAAATTAAAWTAAATTTGTCTGACAAAGCAGCAACTCTCATTTACAGTCGTCTCGTTCAGCTCGGTACGTTTCTCCTCTCAGCAGGGTTGTTTACAGCTCACGCAATTTCCAGTTAGCTTCTTAGCTTAGCCTCCTTCACATTGGAGCTGGCACACATACGTCACGGCCAACCGATCCAATCGTTTTAAACTTCAGCAGAGGCCACGCCTCCAGCAAGAATCACTTCTCTATAGYTGTGAGTCGAGACCCTCGTACGAAGCAAAGCGAAGGACAAGGGTCTGGTTTTACCTGGCTAACAGCAGGTCCCTTAGTTCTTCAAATATTGCCTTTAAGATCATTTTGTTGTTTTATGATATTTATAATAGTAATATATTGATATTGTGCTAATTTTGATCGATTTCTGCTTCAGTTTAGCATTGTCACAGTTATTAGGTGACAGGAGACAAACCGGGGTAAGGGCGGGAATAAAGCAGAAGGCTAGACCATCCAAATTCACAGCCACTTTTATCCGGTCTTCACGATCGACCTGGCCCACCTAGACTGGGTAGACCAGATCCTTCGAAGGATCCAGCCTCTGCATTTGGACACGTAGATTAAAACTACCAACAGTTTAAAACAATAACATTGACTATTGTATAGCAATGCATTTTTTTTTTGCAGTCCTCCCCAGATTTACATGCAAATACAACAGATGGGACTAAACGAGCACCTAATACCAAAAACACATCAGAGACCTCATGGCTGTGTGTGTTTTGTAAAACAAATCATCTGCAGGAGCGACGGCATCAATGAGTGGCGCATGCAGAGAGGAGCTACCTTCTGCCTCTGCTGGATGACGGTCATAGCATCTGGCTGAAACTCCAGCTTGTCTGTCCGACACAGTTTCCAGTAGAGGATGGAAATGATGATGATGACCACCAGAAGGGGAATCACCACCCCAATGATGATCCACATGTTGGTGTTCTCTGCCTCAGGGGGTGAAGATGCCAGCTTCTCCACAGCTTCAAACAAACAAATCAGATGTTATCTGTTTGAAACTTCAATTCAAATTTTATCTGGTTTATAATAAAACTCATTTATTCTCTGGGAAAAGAACTGTAAAGGAACTAAGCCAATAAAAGAAAATAACTCCCCTGAGGGGTTCTCATTAGACCTTTATTCCTTGTTAGGATTCCTAACGAGAATTTTCTTACAGTGAGTAGAGAAACATGTAAAGTTAACATAAACATACAACAACATACGAAGCACACATTAAGAGAATTTACTTTCTTATTACAACTTTGAGATTATAGGTCAAGCAGTTTAGACATAAAACAATAAATTATGAGTATTTCTCTAACAAGTGATCTCACAATCAAAGATTACGTTTTGCTGGATTAAACCTCAACAATGTGGAAGTTTTAACAGGATTTAACTTTAATTTTATTGCTTTTGATAAAACCAAAGATACTCACGTTGAGCCAAGACGCCCTGCACACGATAGCCCAAGATGATAGCAGCTCTTTGAACGTCCAGGCTGTTGAGCAGGTTGGCCGTTTGAACGGCAGGCATCCTTTCACCAYTCTGACCTTCCACAAAATACACTATTTGCAAGGGGTTGTCCGTTCCCTCCATCCGGATTGCACTCACAACCTAGAGAACAGGACACACACACAACTGAGTGTTACCCTTAAAGTGCCTGTGACATCAAATTTKTGTAATAAACATGAATGCATTTTTAGAAAKGAAACTTTGATAACATGTTGCAAAACAAATTTCACRTCGCTGAGATGAACGGTTGTTGAGATATTTGCACRTGAAGAAACAGGAAGTGATGTCAAAGGGGAATGTCATCATATGAACAGAGCGATGTTACAAAAACACAAYAAAACAGACTGTAGAGAAGAATCGGATRTTTCTTTAGGTTATTTTTGTCGCCATCAAAGAGACAAAGAAGAGTTAAAGTTTAAATAATTTTGTTTTAATAAACAGAGACCAGTGAGTTTATTTTATTAATAAGTTCCCCTTTGATGTCACTTCCTGTTTCACTTTGGCTGAGCCAAATTCAAAAGAAAATAGGCCAGTTACGTGACAAAATGGGTAAAATCATGTGTACAATGCCAATTTTCTTAAGTATAAAGATGCTTTCTTTGACTTTTTTAAATTTGAAGGATAGACATGTCACAGGCACTTTAAACACATCAGCACCAACTGTTACAAGCTTGTACAAATGAATAGAACTTTATTCATAATTCTCGTAAACAATATTTTTTGACCACATTTGAACAGAAGTTCTAAGTTTGATTATTTACAATTTTAGAAACCTATGTCAAACACATGAGCATAAAAAAACAAAATAAAAGACACTGTGTGAAAAGAATAAATTCTGCAAATACACAGAAATCACCAGCTCTAATCACAGCTGTATGAAGGCTGTCAGTGTCCACCACTCTTGGATGGTTTGCAGACATGTAATTTGCTTTTCCAAACATAAATGTGACCAGATGTTGCAAAAAGAAAAAAAGAAAAAAAGCTGAAAGACATTTAGTAGAATCACTTCCTTCTTTGCCTTGAGGGACTGTAATCCTCTCAGTAATCAACTTCCTGCAGGTAAGCATGTCTTTATTCTATATTAAACAAACATTTTGCTTATAACTTCAAAGCTGCATTAARATGGAAGTGAGCTTCACTGTGAAGTCTATGTTTTAATCATGGTGTTCACATTTGTTGCGTTACCCCCAGTCAATGTTTCCAATGTGAAACATTCATGGCTAAAAGGCGCTGCTCAAGCAACTGGAAAAGACGTGCTTCTGAAACCGAACATGAGATTCATGGGTGATGACGCACCGTCCTCTCTAAATTAGGAATGGASGTCCTTATGAGCCATGCGTCACAATTTCAGTAATAAAATGACTTTTTAATGGGGCAGCTCATTCTTCAAACTAAAAATTTCACCCGTTTTGAGCTTGTGTGACTGCAGAAACTAAAAAAAGTCTCAGTCAGTTTGCTTGTTTGATCACTTTGAGCTGTGTTAATAAAACATCAGAGTAAAAGTAAAAAATGACAGATTGTTTTTTTTTTTTGTGCAAAATAAACATTCATATTTACTTTACACTCTATAAAGCCCTCATATGTACATAAAGTGCRTCACAGCCTGCTACACTGATCCATGCATGTACTGTATGTGTGTGTTTCCAGCCTACCACCCGGTACCCTCAGGCACAGCACAGTCTGCTGTCTGCATTACCGGAAACCCTAAAGCTCAGGTCACGTCTGGGCTGACACAGAAAGAAAAAAAAGGCTGAGCAGGCACCCTCATTCCGGGTCAAATCTAGTCCATACACAGTTATTAGAGTGGAAAGAGGGCAGCGTGAATGTGTGTTTTATCGCACCAACCCCCTCCAGCCTCCTCTTTCATCTGTCTAGGACGGCTCATGAGGCATTTTCATAGAAGACAACACTATGCTTATTCTGTCACGACAGTCCAGGGCGACTGTCTGAGATGGGAAAAGGAAAAAAAAAAGAGTAGATGTGCACAAAAACAACATAACGGACTCCTCTCAAGTTTGGGTCAATCTGTGTCACGTCGAGTTAACTCAACAGTCAGAATAAATTAGTATTTGTTTGTGGGGGGAAAAAAATCATAAAGAATTTCAGGGTCTAAATTTCCAGATGTATTGGGAAATCACAGCACAGAACAGAAACTGTGAGGATTTTTCATTACTCTGGTCGTCCATTCTCCTGATTTACTTTGTGGGTTTTATGGAGACAAATCTTGAGGCAGAAARGTCAGAATAAGTGAAGCTGCTATTTACCCAAGGTTGGTATTTATCACTCTGACATCCCTCTTGTTTTAAGTTCACATTATGCACAAAGATTCCACAGGGTTATATCAAATATACATATCATTACCTAAGTTTGTTCTCAGAGATTGTTTAAATATTTTACATCTCTGAATCCCACTCCATTACCAAAAAAAGAGTCAACTGTTAATCATTCCCACTGAAGGATTCAGACAGAGAAAGAGATATAATTAATAATTGATCAGTTATTAGCTTCTCTGTGGCTCACAGCAGCCATCAAGTGAAAAAAAAAATGAGCAAAAAGGAGCAGGAATCTGAACCCCGCTTAGGTGGTCGTCTTTAAGTGGCTCGCTTCTGGGGAAAATGGGATGCTGTTGCCATGGAGACAAAGCCATATCCTGTCCCCCTAGACATGAGATGAGCAGGTGCAGAGAGGACCCACAAAAGCTGAAGCTTGATTAGTAAAGCGAGAAGGCCGTCACGGGGAAGCAACACTGCGACACTCACGCAATGAGTCCTCTGTACTCCAGCAAACTACTTAGAGAGCTTGTATCATTTTATACTTGTATCAATTATACAAATAAAGATATTTTTGAATACATTCAGGACTTATCCATCTACCAATTTCCCAGAGTTGTAAAGTAACTAAGTACAAATACTTTGTTACTGTACTTAAGTAGAATTTTTGGGTATCTTTACT